GGGGGGGGGGGGGGGGGGGGGGGGGGGGGGGGGGGGGGGGGGGGTTAGGAGGCGAGAGACCGGGCAAAACGGCAGGGAGAGTCAGATCCGATACCAGCAACTGGGATGGTCACGAGAACCACAAACGATACACGATGGCGGGCAGGGAGAGGACGGCTGAAAAGGGTAATCAGAACTGAAGCCAATGATTCCGAAGCATACAACATGTCTGGGCACAGCAGCACACGCACGCTGCGGGATGTGGCACCGAAAAGAGGCCGAAAGAAGGAGTGAGGTCGATACTCCTGGACCATTTGATGCTGTATACTACGATGACATGTACACTACCAACTCTTTGCTTTGCAGACGAACCCAACTGGCAACTTGCAAGCAAGACTCTGCGCCGTTAGAAATGTTCGAACCATTTCTGCTCCTACAACACAGACATCGTTTCGAGAAACTCCACACCAAGAGAACTTGGACAACGCCTTGTCAAGTTGTAGTCCCATCAACGGCCACCCAACGAAGGGAGCTACCTCCTTGCTTTGGCGGTCTGCCTGTCTGTCTGTCTGCCTCCCTGCCTTCCTTCCTGCCTGCTTGTCTTTGTGTCTGTCTCTGTGTCTACATGTGCTTGTGTGTGTCTGAAGTCTATCTGTCTTTCTCTCCCTTTACGTCTCTTGAGCGCATTTGTGTCCTGTCTGTTGGTCTCTGTCTCTGTCTCTGTCTGTCTGTTGTATCTTTCTCACACACCCACCTCTGCTGGATCCACTCCAACGAGATCGTTCTTCTTGAAATCGAACGTCTGAACCTTCTGTCCCATCAGCATTTCTTCCAGCATCCGGTTGCCCCTGAAAACAATTACAGCAGAACGCAGCATCGGCAAAAACAAAATTAATGACGTCAATACACACTACGCTACGTTCACGACAATGATAGTCGTGACGAAGGTAATAATTGTGACGATTGCTTGTCGCACCTATCATAGCGCCGTTGTCTGCACTCTGCCCGCGTCATTACGCGCAAATCAGTCCGAGCAGCCGAGAGAGTTTACCACCGCCGCCGCCGGTTTCCCGCTTCTCGTCCTCAAGCTCGTTCTCTCTCTCTATTATGATTGTGTGCGGTGAGTGACGACAACAGCGTGGAAGAAGACCGACAGCAATACCTCGGCCGAAAAAAATACAACACACGCCCCATGCACCGTGATTCCTTACCCCCCCCCCCCCC